CTGATAAAAAAGGAATAACAATAGTAAAAAAGTTCACTCGCATCATTGGAAGATGCTTCCTTCACCACAATTTGACTGAGTTCTCTTTGAATTTGCTTTCAATCATCAGATTCATCCACTCAGGGTAGGGGTCCGAAGCACAACAACAATAGTATTTTTACTACTATTATTGTCATCATCCTATACTATTTAAAAGTAGTTATTACATCATTAATTACATAGGTTTTACCTAGTTTTTCTCTTAATTTAGTCATGGCCATTTCTGCCTACTAGCTATGTCTCTTACTATCACATGATGCCACCAAGCTGGGAGGGTGAAGACTAGCACTAGTTTCTTCCAAGACACATGTAGCACCGCCATATTCTCCACTAACGCCATATTCTCCATAAGTTCCACTAACGCAGCGTCACTGGACAACTGAACATGCTTGGCACAAACTCTGCATGAGTCTTTGCTACGCTCAGAACGTTGAAAGTTAATTTCTGTTGTTATTTTGTTGCAGTTAAATAATCTTGAATTCTGGGGTCGCAGCAGCCACCTCATTACCTCCCCTCTCCTGCCCTGGTCTGCTGATATCTACTGCATGTTAAGCTGGCCACAGCTGTGGGGATTTTATCAGTTGCATTCTGATTTGCTGTCTGGCAGCAGGTTCTATCAGCCTGATTGCCAGATCTGCTCTGCATACTGTGAGTCTTTAAGGGCAGAGTTTCTCAACCTATGGCCGCGGACCACCAGTGGGCTGTGAAGCACGCTCTAGTGGTCTGCAGGCCTGTAATCAGGGGAGGCAGTAGTTTGTAGTGGGCCGGTAATGTCACTCTAAGTCATAAAAACATATGTGGGAAAAAGATTAACTTAATTTTAAAATCTATAAATGAAACCTTCACATTATAACCAACATAAATATTAATAGAGACGTACAAATAAAAGCGTCACAGTAGTGGGCTAATTAAGCAATAGAACACGAGAGGGAGTGTGTTATCGTGAAATAACATTGTGGCTGTGATTTGATCTTGCCTTCGGCTCGTGCCTGCGACCAAATCACAGCTGTGATGTTATATGCGATAACACACGACCTCGAGTGTTCTATTGATTTTATACATCAGTTAAATAAATAAAGTAAGAAATGAATAAATTGGGCCATGAACGTGGCATTTAATATGTTTTAATGTCAGCAGTTCCTTCCGCCAAATTATCGTTCCTTAATAAGCAGCTTGTTGCTACGTCACAGTAACAAGCTCCGCTCACTCGCTGCACAGCCAGCAGTTCGTTCTCCAGCTCCTTACACTAAATTCTGAAACTGTCATTATCACTGGGCAGCTTTTTTGCTTTTTATTACGGCAGTTTTATGGCTCAGTCCGATTTGGTCAGACTCTGAAGACGAGACTACACGTTTGGCGAATGGTATTCGGTTCATTTCTGGCAAATTCCAAGTTGTTTAGGTTTTCTTCTGTCACAGCTGCCGACTGGAAAGCTGCTCAGTGGTGATGACAGTTTGGGAATTTAGTGGAATCTCATCTTCAGAGTCTGACCAAATCGGCTGTCGGTCAAATGTGATCTTAAAAGTGTCCATTTTCTGCTTGTGCGCAAAGTAAGAAGTAAAAACTTTCAAATCGCTTGAGCGTCTCCTACAGCTGTCAAGCTTGTTGCTTAGCAACAGCGTCTTAGTGGAGTGATACAGTGTTTGTGAAAAACCCGTGACGTTATGGCGAAATAACAGCATGGTTAGAACGCTTCTCAACCAATAAGCTTGCGTGGCCGGAACTAACTGTTGTATAATTAAACATCATCAGTCTGAGACAACGCAGCCATGGGCATGCGGTGCAGACAGCTAGCCAGAGATGGAGGAGTCTCTCAGGGCACTCTGTTTGGTGTGGACTTGCGCTCTGTGATCAAACAAGGAAATCAACAGAGCTGCCTTTCCTTCCTTCTAGAGGCACGGTGACGCCGTACAACTAGCATAGCGACTGTTTCAATGACTGACTCTTTACAGACTCTCAGAACAAGCTGTTGTTAAAAACAATAGACGAGCCATAAAATAATACCAAAGAGTTGCATTTGATTTCAACTCATAGATCGCGGAGTGTATATTTGGTTGAACTTCAGCGACCTAAATGGTTCAACTAAAATTGCTAAACCAATGACAAAGAAGCAGATATCAAGTATGATTTATCATTATGGTTAATTGTGACGATGCTAAACAAAAAGCCCGTTGAATCGGGTATGGTTTATTTCAAATGAATCACAAAAACCCTCAAAACTAGAGACATCTTGAGAGCAAACAGATAGATGAGATGTAGTCTCGAAATTAGTCTAGAAACTTTGCAGAGGTTTAATCTGAAGCATTTAATAGCTTTTAAGCGAGATATGCTTGTAAGTTTGCTGACACTATTGTTTCCTGTGAGAAACAACATTCTGTGGTTGGTAATTTCGCATTACAGTCAAATGTCAAAACCCTTTTTTGTCAAAGTAGGCAGTTCTTGGCCACATTAAATGAGCAAGACTCACAATGTCTAAAGATTTACATAAAGCTGTACATTCTGTATTGACAAATTGGAGTCTATTCCACTTGTTCACATCTTTTTATTGTTTTGATGTCAAAAAACATAAAAAAAAAATATAAACAATAATGTTTCATCAAATCCAGCTTCTCTTCTACTTAGAGCCACTTATGTGTCATGGATCAAAAGTTTGGAATCTGCACTTCCAATTAATTTTCTCTGCTTATTTTAGTTACTAAGAAAAGAGTAAAAAATAATTTACATGATTTTACAGCATGCTTTTGTTAGCAGTAAAGATAGCTGTGATGTGTAATTATTAACTGTAAATGTGTAAGAAATAGCAAGAAGGCAGTGTGAAAGAATCAATTTCCAAACCTAATAGGCTGTATATTACTGGACTTGGCTTTTTTTGCCTTGTTCTGCTCATCCTTTGTTGCGGAATCACCTCTAGTTGGCTGTAATGTTGGCGCAGAATGAAGGTTAAGACTGATATGATTCAGTGTGTGATGATAAAGGCGTGACGGAGCTCTGCTATTGAGCTGCAGGCTGAGAGTAATAGGGGTTAAAACAAAGGTGTCCATGAACACTGTAGTGTGTGATAAGAGCTCTGTGTGTAATCCTATTCATGTGTGATCTACTGCCTCATTTCAGCTCTTAGTTCAACCATCTAATTACATTGACTCGGTACAGAGAGACGCCCTTCAGCTGCCCTGAGACACAATAAACACACGGTTACTGTGAAGAAACGTCTCGCTGTCTCATATTCATCTCATATTCTCTCTCTCTCATTTTCTTTCTGTGTACGTTCTCTCTCTTTACTTTTCATTCTTTATTTTATTTTCTCTCTCTCTCTCTCTCTCTCTCTCTCTGCTTTTATTCTTTCTCTCATGCTGTCCCATACTTTCTTTATCTTTTTGTTCTCTTTTTATACTCTCTCTCTTTCTGTCTCAGTGTCTTTCTTTCTTTCTCTCTCTCTCTCTCTCTCTCTCTCTCTCTCTCTCTCTTTCTCTCTCTCTCTGTCTTTTCCTTCTCTCTACCTACTTTTCTCTTTCTCTCTCTCTCTTTCTTGTCCTTCTCTTTCCATCGCTCTCTTTTTCTCTCTCTCCCTCACTCTGTTTTTTTGGTTTGTCTATTTAGTTCTCTGTCTCTCTCTCTCTCTCTCTCTCTCTCTCTCTCTCTCTCTCTCATTCGCTTTCTTCTTTTGGTTTTCTTTCTTTTTGTTTCTCTATTCTCTATCTCTTTTTTCCTTCTCTCTTCCCCTTCTATCTTTCCCTCCCTCTCTTATTTTCCTTCTATCTCCCTCCTTCTCTCTTTCTCTTCCTCCCACTGTATTCTTTCTTTTACTGACTATTGAGTTACCATCTTTCTCTCTCTCTCTCTCTCTCTCTCTCTCTCTCTTCCTCTCTCTCTCACTCTCTCTTTATTGCTCTCCCATTCCCCTTTTCTTTTTGTTCTCTCTCTCTCTTTCTTTCCTTCTCTCTCCCTTCTTCTCTTTCTCTCTCTCTCTCTTAATCCCTGTTTTTTTCTTACTCTGTCTATTTAGGTCTCTCTCTCTCTCTCTCTCTCTCTCTCTCTCTCTCTCTCTCTCTCTCTCTCTCTCTCTCTCTCATCTGTACAGTCCTGTAATAGTCTTTGGCTTACTGATGGAGTGCAATGTCAACATCATTTGTTTCTTCTCTCTCTCTTTTTCTCTTTCTCCGTCATAATCTGACCTGTGATGTACTCTATTAAATATGAAAGGTCAGAGCTGTGTTCTTACACCTGCTTGTCTAAGAGTTACAAATAGACACAAAGATGCATTTTGTTTTTTGTGCCAGTGTTAAACTAAAGCCCTGCACTGCAGCTCAGGATGGATTAATTCAGTGGGAGAAGTAAAGTGAACAAATCACAAGGTGTTTCTTATAAAGCATACAGTGAGGGGTATGGCAAAGTGTTTCTAATAAAGTGGACAGCGAGGGGTATGGCAAGGTGTTTCTAATAAAGTGGACAGTGAGGGGAATCACAAGGTGTTTCTAATAAAGTGGACAGTGAGGGTAATCACAAGGTGTTTCTAATAAAGTGGACAGTGAGGGGAATCGCAAGGTGTTTCTAATAAAGTGGACAGTGAGGGGTATGGCAAGGTGTTTCTAATGAAGTGGATAGTGAGGGGAATCACAAGGTGTTTCTAATAAAGTGGACAGTGAGGGTAATCACAAGGTGTTTCTAGTAAAGTGGACAGTGAGGGGAATCGCAAGGTGTTTCTAATAAAGTGGACAGTGAGGAGGACCGCAAGGTGTTTTTTATAAAGTGGACATTGAGGGGAATCGCAAGGTGTTTCTAATAAAGTGGACAGTAAGGGGGGGGAGGAAGGTGTTTCTTATAAAATGGACATTGAGGGGAATCGCAAGGTGTTTCTTATAAAGTGGACAGTGAGGGGAATCGCAATGTGTTTCCAGTAAAGTGGACAGTGAGGGGAATCTCAATGTAGGCATTTCTAATGAACGCTGTTTTTGTGTGTTTAGTGCTGGGAGGTGTGGAGTCCAGAGGAGTTCTGAGGAAGATCAGTGATATGCTGGAGGTCATTATGAAGAGGATGGACAGTCTGTCTAAGCTGGAGCACGTCAACGACTCACGCCGCCTGGAGGAGCTCAGCTCGGCCATAAACAGGTACAACACTGCACTAGTGCTAATTCTGGATCAGATCAGCTCTGGTCATGGCTTTCAGTGTAATAGTAAAGCAACAGCTTGTAAAAATAAAATTTCCACTGTTTCTCCTTCAAATGTAATCGATCAGCTAAAACTTGATTGGTGGATTGGAAGTTTAAATATTAACACATGTACAGACACCATTATGGTTTCAGGATGGCAGGAGCCAGGCATGATATCCTAATGAGAAGACACATATGGGGACCAATTTGTCAAAGTTTTATTGCTAGATTGCAGCAAACAAGGGTACATCCTCTATAAAACCTGCCCCCTAAGTAGTCCATGCTCTTTTAATGTCTGGAGAAAGATCAATATCACCAGCAAAACAAGCTATTAAGCTTTATCAGAGTTGTCTGGGGGACCTTTCAGCTGTGCTAACTTGTGTTGCATCCATGTGTTAAGAACAGGTCTGTTGCCTGTCAGGCAGTGTTGATGAGCTGCCACTGCCCCCACTTTGAACTCTGCCATCATGAGTTATTTGATTGGTTTAGAAACTGTACACTCAGTTTCTTTTCACACTAATAACTATCAGAAAAAAAAAGGATTCAGACCTCAGATATTTACAATGGTTGTGTTATGATCTGTTTAAACCATCAATTGAGATAGAAGGAAAAACATGTCTGTCTTTAATTATATATGTTATATACTTAAATGTATGTATCTTTAGTTTGTTATCCTGTATTTGCTGGCCATGTACCAATTACCATTTTTGAGTTCTGCTTAAAATAAGCTTAAATTGTCACTACTCAAACATTTAGTAGGGTTCTGGAAGTTTTTGGATTGGTGACAAATTGGAATGTTCTATCCTTTATTTTTGTAAATGAACATAACTAAGCTACAGGGCAGGGGTCGCAATCCAAATGTTAAGAAGAGCCATTTTGTCCTTTCAATAAAATTCAAACCACCTTGGGAGCCAAAATATTTTATGAGGAATATCTTGGGTGTATATATGTCCCAATATTTGCCAATGTACTGGTATAGGCCAAAACATAAATGAAAACACAGACTTACTTTGCTCTGCTTTAAGCTTTAGCTCAGCTATAGCTGCTTTTCTCACGTCTCCAGCAGGAAACCTTTCCTCAAAAGTAGAACAGTTTCTTGTAAAATGTCTCTCAACGTTTGACTTTTTACGAGGCTGAAGTCAGCTTCTCTTTTAATTTTCCCGTTCCATCTTAAATCTTGCCTGAGGTGCCAGAATGTATCTGCTGTGCCAGTTAAGGTAGGAAGGGGAATATTCAAACAAGAAGCTGAATAAAGCTTCGTGACTTTTTAGTGTTTGACAGTTTCTTGTTGCAGATTAATTATATCAAGAAACCAGCTGGAGTGATTATGAATACAAGTCCATTCATCTCTAAATGATCGATGTTCTTCTTAAATCGCTCTCTTTGCCTTTTTGTTAGCACCAATCTTCAGGGTTAAAGAGTGAATTAGCAGTTATACATGAACTATTGTTAAAACTGTGTTGAACGATCAACAGGGCTTTATTTTACTGCAAAGGAGGATTATTGTATTTTTACCTAAAAATCTAATTCTGCTGGGGAGCCACAACAGGGCAGTAAAAGAGCCATGCAAAAGGACTTTAGTCTAAAGTCCAAACCAGGTAAAAGTGCTAAATGGGTTTTGAACCACTTTCATAGAATGACATATAGTATTTCCAAGTAGTTGCTAAGGTGTTGTTAGGCCATTGCTATTGTACTGCAGGTGGTTGCTGAGGTGTTGCTAGGATATTGCTCTTGTATCTCAGGTGGTTGCTAAGGTGTTGCTAGCCCATTGCTATTGTATCTCAGGTGGTTCCTACGGTATTGCTAGGCCATTGCTATTGTATCTCAGGTGGTTACTAAAGTGTCGCTAGGCCATTGCTATTGTATCTCAGGTGGTTGCTAAGGTGTTGTTAGGCCATTGCTATTGTATCTCAGGTGGTTGCTAAGGTGTTGCTAAGCCATTGCTTTTGTAGCTCAGGCGGTTGGTAAGGTCTTGCTAGGCCATTGCTTTTGTATCTCAGGTGGTTGCTAAGGTATTGCTAGCCCATTGCTATTGTATCTCAGGTGGTTACTTAGATGTTGCTAGGCCATTGCTATTGTATCTCAGGTGGATTCTAAGGTGTTGCTAGCCCATTTCTATTGTATCTCAGGTGGTTACTAAGGTGTTGCTAGGCCATTGCTATTGTATCGCAGGTGGTTGCTAAGGTGTTATTAGGCCATTGCTATTGTATATCAGGTGATTTCTAAGGTGTTGTTAGGCCATTGCTGTTGTATCTCCGGTGGCTGCTAAAGTGTTCTCAGGCCATTGCTATTATATCTCAGGTGGTTGCTAAGGTGTTGTTAGGCCATTTCTATTGTATCTCATGGGGTCGCTAAGGTGTTGCTAGGCCTTTGGTATGGTATCCCAGGTAATTGCTAAGGTGTTAGGCCATTGCTGTTGTATCTCCGGTGGCTGCTAAAGTGCTGTTAGGCCGTTGCTATTGTATCTCAGGAGGTTGCTAAGGTGTTGCTAGGCCTTTGGTATGGTATCCCAGGCAATTGCTAAGGTGTTAGGCCATTGCTGTTGTATCTCCGGTGGCAGCTAAAGTGTTGTCAAGCCATTGCTATTGTATCTCAGGTGGTCGCTAAGGTGTCGCTAAGCCATTGCTATTATATCTCAGGTGGTTGCTAAGGTGTTGTTAGGCCATTGCTATTGTATCGCAGGTGGTTGCTAAGGTGTTGCTAGGCCTTTGGTATGGTATCCCAGGTCATTGCTAAAGTGTTGCTAGGCCATTGCTACCAAGCCAAATTGAAGAATAAAGAATTAATTAAAGAATTTAGGCTATAATCATGAAAAGTCACCAAGCTTAGAGACCAAACATATCTTGGCAGAATATTTGGGCTAAAGGGAAAATTGACTGAATTGATTTTTTTTTTTTCCTGGAAAAATCAGCAGCCTTGTTTATGGTGACACTTTTAAAGTTCTGTTTTCTTTCTATTGCATTAGTTTATTCAAAAATTATTAATGGCAACGCAAGACTGAAAGCGGAGGTAAGTGCCAAAAAGCAGTAGTTTGTGCCTGAGGTGTTTTATGTGTTTAAAATAGCCATAATGAATTCATAAAGCAGCAGGAAATGGACAGTTTCCCACAATGAATAAATAATGTAAACTGAAAAATGTTTTATTTAGCAAATAGCCCGAGTGTTGTTTTGGCTAAAATATTTATAAGCTAATGTAGCTCATTTGTGAGCAGATTTATGAGTTCGTATTACACAGTAGATGTGGGCTCAGATATTTAGTTTGGACTTTTATTCTGATGCTTCATCAGTCTAAACAAGTTTTGAGCAGCACTTATTTTGTACAGAAGAGGCGACTCACTCTCCTCCGCTCTGATTGATGGAGGGCTGCTGATTGACACTGCTGTCCCTGACTTCAGTTCAGCACTGCCTGAAGTAATCAGAGCAGGCATTGAGACACCAGAGAAAGAAAGGAGCTTGTTTGTGACATTTGCATGAATTTGAATTTGTTAGATCACTGTCAGTCTTCTTTTGGCATTTTCTGAATAATTTTGTCCTTCACTGTTATTTTTCGATGTCATTAAAAAATCAGCTAGTATGCTTCTTGCTCATCAAAGTTCTTTGCTTGGTATGAACGGCAGGAGCTTCTAGGTACATTTTTCTCTCATTTGATGGGCGTGTCAGAGGAGTTGATTCATATCAACAGCACCACGCGTCCATTTTAGTTGTGAGTTTATCACTTTCCGTTTCATGCTGGCTAAGCTGAGTAAAGTGTAGTTTACAGTTTTATTTGGTTTTCATGTGTGGCTGGTATTGAAACACTGCTATTAAGGTTAATATTTCAATTTTTATATATGGTTAGCTATTATATTTCCGATTATAAAACGGTCCTAAAATCTGATTGGCTGAGCCACATTCAAAGCATTTGTAAAATCCATGATATACTCACACCTATGACCACTTCACAACAACTGAATTGTGTATTACTGCGTCACGGCACCCTTGTGCTGTTAATGAATAATCTTTGACCCTCATGCTGCTCCCATTGACCGCTGAGTACATTGATGAAGTATAAACTTGTTTTTTGTTTAAACTGAGCAGCTGATAACTTATCCTGTTAACTAGAACTAGGCTGGTCAGCTAGCAACTAGCTAAAATATAGCTAAAAGCCTAAAGAGCTCCATCATTAATATTACAGGCTTGAATTAAAGCAGTTACAGTATGATTAACTGTAACACAGCAGTATACAAGTCTAAAGAATGTAACTTGAATAACATTCTAAAGAATGTCACTTGAATGGCTCCCTATTCCCTAAATAGTGTGCTAGCTAGAAATTCTAGCCTCTGCAGCCAAATAGTGCATCATTTGCCAAATACGTATGTGGCTGAGTCCCAAATGACTATTTCTTAGATATATTTGGCACTGTGGGGCTGCAGGATCCAGTATTAAAAATTCCAATGTAGTGCACTATGTAGGGAGCAGGGATATGTTTGAGATTCAGCCCTAGTGCAAGAAGAGGGGTGATGCTGGATTGGTGCTAAATATGACCTGTGGTGATAATTTGGTGACCAAAAAGTACTTAAAAAGTGAAAGTATTTGCATTAAACAGTGCTGAATCATGAAATGACCGCAATATACAGCAATGGCCAACCAAACATTCTCCTGATTCAGCGGTCAATGGTTGCTTAGCAGTGATACCATACTCTAAAGGAACCACATTTCCATAAAATCACAGTAACCCACGGCCTCTCATGGCTTATTGCTTTATTCTACTGTGTTGTGTTGTAATATTAATTCTGAAGACAATTAGCAATCATGTGTTGATAGTTATCACAAACAGAGAATAAGGGCATGATACTTGGTTAAGAGCAGTCCTGCCTCTTTAGTCATTTATTCCGTCCACTTGCGAAACTAATCTTGTCCTCGGGCCTGAGTCAACAGCAGCGATGCTAGCATCCTACTTCTGTTTGCTGTAGAAAAACAG